TTAACAGGAATTGGGTTTTCTCTGCAGTACTCGCCCAATTGCTGTCACCTGACTGGGGAGAGAAATTGGTTAAAATGAGCAGGTAGGTGCTCAGTCTCTGCAGACCGCTTGAGGGTCAGGGTCAGTTTAGAGTCTACTCAACAAAAATCAATTTCACGATTTTTCATTCACTGCCCTTACACATCAATTGCATGTAATGACTGCAAATCCTACATTAATAGCTTTCAGGATGCAGTCCTGGACTGATTAGTGGCAGACCGTAATTAGACAGAGTGACTATTAGTGGCAAACAGGTATCTACAGGTGACCAAGATGTAGTGATTTACTGGGTAACCTATTTTTAGACCTCACCCTGCTGACCTCACCCTACTGACCTCACCACTGGATGACCCTGTATGCATACCTAAGTATGGTGAAGTACAAATTGCACTGTAACTGACTCAAAACTGCAAATCTGATTATGCGATTTCAAACATAGATGGAATATTGAATTGCGATTTACCAGGGACTGACATAACTAAATTCTGACGAACAGAACCAAAGTTATGGTTGACCCTAGTCCAACCAAGCTTCAACTATGGCAGCGCAGAATTCAAATTGTCATTATCACTGACAATAGGACCCTAAACAATCCAATTCACATTGCTATATGAATCGCAACATTGTAAAACAGTCATAGATGAAAGCTGAGGCAGAAGGAGGGTCAAACAGGGTTAGTAGAAGTCAAAGAAGATAAGTAGGGAAAGTTGGTTATGGCTGTCGCAAAGTCTGAATTCCGATTTTTCTCTATCTACTGACTGACAGGCCAAATTTCACTATTTAGCCCCAGAATAGCCACCCAGAGTAGAGTAAGGAACACACTTCAGGAATAACTCTGAAGAGGATGAGTGAAACCTTGGCTATGGCTGTCTGCTCAGACCCATCTCGCCAGTTTCATCTCCTGATTGTTCCCAGTGTTCCCATGTACAAAACTCACTGAAACTTGGTGATCCAATAGTTCCTCCTGAGGCGCTTCATCCCCAACTGACAGATTCAGTGTATCTGGATTCCCAGATGCCAATAACTGAGATACTCAGCGCAACGCTGCTCCAACCTGCACTGCGCTGCTTGGAAATTGGGGATCCTGACCCAATTCCAAAATCGCAACACCCTGGGGTCACTTCCTTGCCAAACGCCAGTTCCAAATGAATCGCCAGGCTAAAAATAGCCTCCTCAGAGCCTCCCAGGCCTCTGAGCATCAATCACATCTCACTCTTGCACAACCCTAAGTAGGAGTGTGTCACCCTTTGTCCAATACCTCTCGCCACACACTCACCACCACCACCCTTACTGTCGCCAACCCTGAAGATGACAAATCGCCATGAAGTTCAACTCCAGAATCTCGCCAGATGATGATGGTTGCTCCAACTCATCAATCGCTTCACTGTTTGGATCCAATCGCTCTGATACCAACTATTATGAACCTGGTTGTTTGTTGTCATAAGACCAACACTCGCTCACATAGACTTCCAGGTATGCCCATACATACACAAAAGGAAAGGGAGAGGATGGGAGTATCACACCGCACAGGGAGAGATAAACACAGCGGAAGACTTGACCATGCGATATGACTGAAAACACCGACACTGCAATTCGCTCCACAGAATCCTCACAACCAGTCACAAAGGAAAGCCGAGTAGATCACATCCAGAAAACAATGAAGCAAAGATAGTCCACACACAGTATAAACACTGTTTATTCAACTCAGAGTCTCAAAATGTCAGAATAACCCCAAAACCATGGTGCGCTGCTAAAAAATGAGCAGCGCTTCACTCCCCAACCCTGAACAACCGCTATAACTGCCCCCTGAGTCCCTCAAACATCAAGCGCCACCCAGATACTGCCTCCAGAGGGAAGCACCAACCTGAAACAGGCCTCTAAGGCCAAGCGCCTCTCAGAGGATGAAGAAGAAGACCAGCGCCACAGTGTCTGATGATGATGAAGTGCCAGAGGACTTCCCGGGTGGAAGTCTGTAGCAGCGCCACCTCTCCTAACAAAGATGAGCTCTGAGGGAGAAAGTTGCAGCTATGGCTGCAGCGCCAAACTCCCTGAGACCCTACTCCTGAGGAGGGTTCAGCAGGGCACCAACTCTCTCGCCTCCAGCAGACTTCAAATAGTCCGGACCTCTGAACAGGCCCGCGTGCTGTCAGAGAACAGCGTAGGTCCCAGCTATGGCCGACGCTCCACAGGTCTGGTTATGTCCGTCTCCTCCAACAATGAAGCTGTTACCACTCCAGTTTGTGTGTTGCGCAGCAGCGATGTACAGGGTACCAACTGCCAAAAGCCCTGAACCGATGTCTACAATCTATCTATAGACTACACTAGCCTAGGCACGACCTAGACCGGACTGACTGGACCAACCGGTACCGTTTCCGTTTTCGGCCTCTCGGCCTCTACCTCCCAGGCTATAGGCTATAGGACCGTCTATCAGCATAGGCCTTTAGGGTCTGTCTGTCCTAGGGGTAGCCCGGGCCTGCTATTCGCAGTTAGGGTAGCTGCAGGAAACTTCAGTTAGGATTGGCCTGTATTTTCCCAAATTTACAGATATGTCCCTCAAGAATTTTCCCTACAGGTAGGTCTCTCGGTTAGCCCTCTGCCAAACAAAATTACGAATCTAACCTACCTATGGTATGGCCTCGGGTCGACGGGTCACCGGCGGCAGAAAACAGCAAGCCATTGCACAGTGGGGAGAACTGGCAGAGTGGCAAAATTCAAAAATGCGTCAAATTACCCCGGCGATTTATTTCGCATTTCAATTTTTTTTTTAATATTTTTAAATATTTTTCCTGTAAAGATCACGACAAAATGTACGGACCCTCAAATTTTCAGAGTTGTTGAGTCATCCTTCTGATCGCAAAAAATCACCAAAGTTGGATTACTTTTCCCATCGGCCCATACGTGGTAGAGTCGCAAAAATGGAAAATGTGACGAAATGACGCGGAATTTACTTCACGGTCTAAATGTTTTGTTTTTTGTTTGTTTTTTTTTTACATTTTTTCCTGGAAAGATCACAGCCTAATCTACAAGATATCAAATTTTCAGATTTTTTTGCCAATTTTTCTGAGCGCGAAAAATCGCCAAAGTTCGCGCTTGAAAATTTTTGGACCGGACCCGTCTGCGCCTGCCGGTCGCCGTCCCCCCTAAGAACCCGGTCCGTAAGGCCAGGAAAGTCCATTTGAGGCCGGCGGGGGTAGTGGTGGTTTAATTGATGCCCCCAACCACAGATATCTCCCCAGCTGTGATGACGTGCAATTCATTTTCCGGTCAAAGCATTGGAACTACCGAAAATACAATGAAAGTGCCTCTGTTGCAATTGCCACGTCACCTCACTCGCATCACCAATCATGCACCCAATGTATTCCAAGACCCCAGTCGCATCCCTCTCTACCCAGGGACCAGCAACTCTCCATACAGCCAAGTCTTACTCACACTGCACAGGACCAACCCCTGTGCACCGAAGAAACCAACAGTGCTTGAGCCGAATGGAGAAAGCCCACAAACAGCTCCGGTACCAAATTGCGAGGAAATGACCAATGCCAATGACAATAAACCAGATGGCAGCATTCCACGGAAATCCATAATATAACTTTGATCCCAAACTAAGAGCAGATTGCACACTGAGATCACACCAAATAAGTACGAGCAAAGTGTTGAAGTCGCATACCAATGAACCCCCCCCCCACATCTCGCCTCCAATCACATATGTCAACAATGTAGCGCCCCGTTGCTGGCGCTCGGCGCCCAGACTACTGACGGACAGCTCCTATGGACCTAGACTCCTAGCTACAACAGGTGTGTAAGGGGCGCTCACCTGGTGAAGAAGCGGGCCGCTCACTCGGCGCCTGATGACGCTCGGAGACTCCGACTAGACTCCTAGCTACAACAGGTGTGTAAGGGGCGCTCACATGGTGAAGAAGCGGGCCGTTCACTCGGCGCCCGATGATGCTTGAAGATTCCGAGTGAACGGCCCGCTTCTTCACCAGGGGTGAGCGCCCCTTACACACCACTCTACCCCTGTCCTCGGACTCCTCCCCGCATAGGCCCCTCGCCAAGGGAACACCACTCTCGTCCACCAGCTAAGCGAGCAAGCAGCCCAGCTATGGCTGCTGTTCGCTGCCTTGCAGCCTAGCGTTCCGCCTGCATGCTCGTCACGCTCTGGCCCGGCTCTCCTCTACTCGGCGCATCGGCAGCTGTGGCACGTCCAGCCAGTCAGAATGCGTGGAACGAGGCCGACCTCTTCCTCTTGTGCTGGCTGGCTGCACACGGCCTGGCTGAACGGCTGCTTCCTGTGCCCAGGCCCGCTTCCAGAATTTACAGCAGGCCTCAACTGTAAGTGTGCTGGGCCTCAGCGTCTTAGGCTGGTCCCGAGCATCTTCAACCAACCGAGAGCCGGTCCCTACTGGTCGGAGATGCTGCGTGCACCAACAGACCCTGTTGTCCCCCCCCTTTTCCTGCTCACATCGTCCTGTACTCAGGCCAAGGCAACAGTTTGGCAGGCCCGCCTTCACTTAGGGCGGGCAGGGCCTTTTCCTGCATTGCCGAGGGGCTAGTTCCTCGCATTTTTTTTTTTTTTTCCAAATTTTGATACCGCATTTCGGTGTGACCCTCGGCCAAAGTTGTTTGATTTGCAGTTCTGCATGACATAGTTTTGTTTTTCCGCTGGGGCTGTCAGGGGCCTTCACCAGGACTTTGCTCGGACCTGGCCTGGCCGGGCCACCCGGGCCAGTCTGAGGCAACCCGGAGCCGAGCTGCTTATCCAAAATAATAAATGTGAGGTCGATCAACCGAATGAATGAACGCCTCCCTTTCCCTCGGGTAAAAAAAAACTAACCTATGGCGATAAAGTTCAGAATCTTCAGATAGAAGGCAAAGGCATGCCATACATGGGGTTCAGTTTCGCTTGGGCAATTGACAGGGGCCTATTAATTTTAGCTGGGTGCTTTAGAAGTGGAGGGGCTTACGAAGTGGGAGTATGCAAATTCCCTGCCTTGGAACGTCGTTGGAGTTCACGACGCATCTGCAAAACCAAAATCAACAGCAAAAGCAGTCAAGGTTGGTTTATAAAAAAAATGACACTGATTTATCCTTACAGGCTTACACACACACACACAAAAAAAAAAAAAACACTTACGGAGCTGAGTGGGTCAAAGAAGCAGACATCTTATCATCCTTAGCCCCCCATTCTTTTTTTTTCTTTTTTTTCTTTTTTTTCTTTTTTTTCTTTTTTTAAGCCCCCTATTCAGGCCAGGGGGCCGGGACCGACTAGCATCGTTTAAAACGGTGTGTGGCGTTCTTTTCTCATTTAAAAACGCATAACCAATGCTATTTTTCATTAAGGCAGTAGCAAAGAAAAGGACCCAAAAAACGAAAAATCACGGGACCTGACATCGACATCATGACAGTACAGGCAATGCATCCACGGTTCCACCAACCCAGTACATCTGCATGCGACCTTCCCGCCGGCCTGTTCGCAGTCTTCCGCGGAAATCTCAATATTCTCAATTTCTGCAAAAAAAAAAAAGCAAGGTGCGAAGTGCGAGGCCAGTGCCTCTATGAGCCCCATAAGGCCCCATTTTGCAGCCCGTCGGCCGCCCTAAGTGAAGGCAGGCTCGACGAGGCCCTCAGGCCCCTTTTCTGGCCACCATGCAACTCAGGGAAATTCAGGCAGTTGCGCAGCGCCAGTTGGTTGAGTGAACCCAGGCCCTGGGCCGCCTGTGTGAATGTATGTGAAGCAGGCCCTGGGCTGGATACGGGGCCAAACATAGGCCGAAGGCAGTTGGGCACATGCAACCACTTCAGGCCCAAGGCCTGCTCTCGTCGTGCTGGGCCTCAGGCTACTGGGGCCTACTGGAAGCTTCCTGGGACTGGACGCAGGCAGGCCACTTCGATATAGGAAAGGGCCTGCCTCCGCATTCGGCATCCGGGTGCTGGCTGCATGCTGCGCTATTTGCTGGCTGGCACCTACGCTCTCACGGGCGAGCAGGGAAGGAGCACGCAGCCATAGCCGAGCTGCGCTGCTGTAAGCTGGGTGAGGCGCACGGTGGTCCTTGGGTGCTAGTGGCATCTGTGAGTTGGGGAACGAGGTTGTGAGTGTAGCGCAAGACATACCTGGTGCTGGAAGCGTGCGACATTGGTCGCCATATGCCCGTGCTTCGGGAATGCTGTTGACGTCATCTTTCGGCTTCATAGTATAGGCTAGATAGGATCTGCCACATGTAGTCTGGGCGCCGAGCGCCAGATAGGATATCAACTCTGGTTCTTCGTTGATGATGATGGGACTATTTCAGCATTGTCAATTATGAACTCTTGGTGTGTTCTTATTTGGTGAATCTCGTGATGCAATTCTGCTGTTGGTTCGAGGTCAAGACTATCTGGACTCATATGTATGATGCTGTTTGATTGCTGAAGTTCGCTATTGCTCATCTTCCTTGCAGAAGCTTCAAAAACACCCCCCCTCTAAAAAAACCATAGTATTGAAGCTTCGCGCCAACGCAAAGTGGCCAACTAAATGGCCAACAAATGAATTAAAAAAAATTATACTGGCCGATGGGCAGCTGCCTCCACGAAAACAAAGACAATAGACACTAGCAGTCGATACGCTACTGGATCAACGACTGACGGATGTCACGGACGACCGCACATGATCGAAAACGGAGCACAAGCGTAAATCGGACATAGTGGGTCAAGGCTCCAGACCACAGATTACAAAAAAAAAGAAAAAAAAGAAGAAATGAAATGGTCTTCAGCCTTGACCCTCTGACAGAAAAAGGAGCAAGTTTTTAAACTTTTTAAACTTTTTTTCAAGCTAAACAACTTGTTGCTCTTTAGGCAGACTTAAAAAAAAAAGAGGGAATTGCAAGGAAATGAGCGATAGTGAATCCCAGAAACCAAGCAGCATCATACACATGTAACCAGACAGTCGTGACCTCGAACCAAAAGCAGAATTGCAACACAAGTTCCACCAAATAAGAGCACAACAAAAGCTCACAAGTGACAATGTTGGGATAGTCTCATCATCATCAACAATGAACCAATGTCGACAAAAAAAAAGAAGGGATAGTCTCATCATCATCAGCAATGAACCAATGTCGACATCCTATCTGGCGATCAGCGCCCAGACTACAAATGGCAGATCCTATCTAGCCTATCTACAATGCCGCTGGTGACGTCAACAGCTCCCTGAAGTACGAGCAGATCTCGGCCAATGCTGTTCACCTCAAGCACCAGGTATGTCTCTCGTATCACTCACAACCTCGATCCCCCACTCACAGATGCCACATGCACCCAAGGACCACCATGCGCCCCATCCAGCATAGTGCAGCGCAGCTTGGCTATGGCTGCCTGGTCATCCAGCTCGCCCGTGAGCGCGTGAAGGCTGGTCAGCGTTTAGCGTAGCAGCACTTGCGCAGCATGCAGCCAGTGCCCGAATGCCAACTGCGAGGGCAGGCACTTTCCTAAATGGAAGTGGCCTGCCTGCTGCGTGTGGCCTGGCTGCTTTGGGCCCCTGCCCAGAAGCTTCCGGTGTCGAGCGCATCGGCTCCCGCCTTTTTGCAAAGTGTGGGAGCCCTCCCGGCCATCCACAGCGCCAGGTTCGGCGCAGTAGCTAACTGCAGTCTGTTCACTAGATGAACGGGCGAGTCATTTTCTGGTGGCCGAACGAACATTTTTGAGGCGCCGTTTGAGCCTCTAGTCGTCTCTCTCTAAGGGCTGCCACGACAGCTCGCCCGTTGCTGGCAATGGTCGCGACTGTCGGGAGGCAGAGAGAGAGAGAGAGAGAGAGAGAGAGAGAGAGAGAGAGAGAGAGAGAGAGAGAGGAGGTCTGCAGGGTGAGGGGAGACGCTGCTCGAGGAGGATAGGCCAGGGCAGCCATAGCCGAGGGCTGGAAGCTCTTTGCGCCACCTTTTTGCTGGTGCTGTGGCCGTGAGGCTGCGTCAAGGCTGGACGATGCAGCAAGCGGCATGGGTGCGTCGGGGGTTACGCTGCTGAAATTATGTCTCGGCGGCTCGCAGAGTTGTTTTGTGTCGTTCCCAAGTTGTCTCTGTTGATGTTTAGTTAACTCCTACGTGACATGGTCGGGAGGGATCCCACCTCTTCGCGAAAAAAGGCGGGAGCCGATGCGCTCGACAGCGGTAGGCCCCGAGAGGCTGAGCCCCGGTCTGAACGAATCAGGCCCAGGGCCTGTGAAGGCTGCCTGTGCCCAACTGCCCGCAGCCAGTGTTCGGTCCTTGTTGTGTATCTGGCCCAGGGTCTGCCTCAGTTACGTACGAAAAAGGCAGCCTGGGCCTGGGCGCTCTCAAGCAACTGGCGTTGTGCAGCTGCCTGAATTTCCCCAGTTGCGTGGTAGCTGAAAAATAGGCCTATCGGCCTCAGTCGGGCCTGCCTTCACTTAGGGCGGCCAACTGTGCTGCTCCCAGGGTGCAAGGGGCTCATCGGGGCCTTATGCCTCGCATTCCCTCCTCCATATTTTGACAATCCTCTGAGAAGTTCTATTACTCAATCTGGCGCTTTCCCTTCTGCAGTAACTTCTCGTAATGAGCGACAGCCTGTGGAGCGGTCTGCATCAGTTCCTCCCGGGTAAACCATATGTCCTCCTTAGGATCAACGTGATGTCTGAACCGAACATGATATTGCAGTTTCGGCTTAGGAGGACGTCCTCTACCTGTTGGTCTTGGAACTGCCATTTCCCTATGGTCCACTATGTCATCAATGTCGACCTCTCCATCCATGGTTGGGGGCAGCATTGAGCGTCCTGGGGGAAACTGATCAGTTTCCTTGGAAGGGGCAAGCTTGGAGGCGTGAAAGACAGGGTAAGTGTGAAGGTGACCAGGGATCTGAACTACATATGACGGCCCATCCGGATCATCCCCGACTATATCTAGAACCTCCCAGGGTCCAAAGTACTGTAGCATGAGCTCACGGGATATCATGTGCTCTTGTCCCAGTTCTGAGGACTTGACCCACACTCTGTCCCCTACCTGGAATGTAGATGGGTGGCGGTGCTTGTTCTCAGACTCTATCATCGTCGCTTGTGCCCTGTGCATCTGTTCTACAGCTTGTTGCATAAGGCGCTCATATCGATATGCAAACTCTAGGGTGCCTGGTGCAGCAGAAGGCTGATTCTCAGGTAGCAGAAACTCTAAGGGCAGTCTAGGTTTGAAAGTCAATAGCAAACTGTTGGGGCTCACCCCGGTTGCGTTGTGCACAGCGTTGTTATACAGACTAGCGAGGAGAGCAAGTTTCTCATCCCAGTCCACCTGATTGGGCTTGATGTAATGCCTCAGCAGGTGTTGAACAGCACGGTTCAGCTGCTCTGCTTGCCCGTTTGCCTCTAGGTGGTTGTCGGAGGTCATCTGCAATTGTGTCCCTTGTTCTGCAGCTGCGGCCTTCCACGGTTCACTGGTAAATCGCACATCCCGGTCACTAATTATAGACTTTGGCAAACCGAAGTTTGTGGCCCAGTTCTCTTTGAATAGCTTAATCACGTACCCAGTCTTGGATGTTGCAGGCATTGCGACTAACCTAACATACTTGCTAAACCTATCCACAATGACATAGACATATCTCATTCCACTCTTGCTGGTGACCAGCGTGTCCATGAAATCCATGGACAGGCTCTCACCGGGCCTTTCCGGTATCGGAAGAAGCTTGAGAAGCCCAAGAGGGGCATGTGTACGTGGCTTGTCTCTCTGACAAACCTGACAAGTCTCCACGTACAGCTTGGCGTCTCTCATCATTGTGGGCCACCAGAACTGCTGCAACAAGTTGGCTGCAGTCTTTTTGTAGCCAAAATGTCATGTGGCATCATGACACTCACCTAAAAATAAACTACGCAAAGACTTCCTATTAGGCACACACAAGCATTTATTCCCGGCCTTCTCAAGGAACAGCAGGCCATTGACCAACTCAAACTCGGCAGAAGTCACTTTGTCCTTCGCCTCGAGTCTGCGTATGATCTCAGCCATAAACGGATCCTCGCGATAGGCTTCCACCAGATAACGAATACATTGTCCGCAAGCC